TTGTACAATAAAGTTAATTGTACTACAATTTGGTCATCGTTAGCATTCATTTAACAATCCAGCGATACGAGCCCGAGTATATGTGGGAAATCCCTCAAGGTTTCGAGGATAATCGTAACAATAACTAAGGCGAATTTATACAAGGTGGTAGCAATCAGTAAAAGCAAAAACAACACATGTAAGGCGAAGAAATCAACTGGTCCAAGAATATCAACAAGGCGAATCTATACGAGACAAGGCGAATCTATAAAAGGTGGTGTTACCGGCGAATTAGATTTTCGCTGCGGTTGTACCTAGGCGAATCTATACCAGGTGCTGTTACCGGGGAATTCATCAAACAACCTCTGGACCCGACAGCTTTCCTACAGGCCTTGAACGGCATTCACAGAGGCAGTCTCGAGTTATGTAGACTCCCGACCTGTGAATGCCGTTCTGGGCACACAACCACCAGACGTGGACAAGACAGAACTTCGTCTGCCTCGGGAGACTCGGACCACAATAGCCCAACTGCGCTCTGGTTACTGCAGCAGGTTGAACTCATACCTGAGCAGATTAAACGAGGATGTTCTTAACGAATGCCCGGCATGCGGAGAGTCGCCCCATGACTCACAGCATCTCTTCGCTTGCCCTCTGAATGCCACCTCACTAACGCCCCTGTCCCTATGGACAGACCGCATCGAGGCTGCACGCTTGCTGGGGCTACCGCTAGTAAAGCTTGACGAGAACAATTGAGGGACTAACCGATCTGAGCGGGGTTGTTGTAGCCGCTACAAAAACAGTAACAACAACAACAACAACCAGCGAATTATTTTCCACAATATAACCAGTAAACAACCTTCGGTGAATTTGGCGACTGCCTTCCTCGGGGCTGAATATGCTAGGGATGAAATTATTGGTACACACGCCATCCAAGCACGCAGGGTTGCTTTTAATCAACAAAAAATAATTACCTCCAAATAGTTTCAAAAAGTATAGTGTAAAACGAAATTTATTGAATAATTCCACATAAAATGGTATACATAAATGACTCATTTTCTAAACGATTTGAATACAACGCATTTCATAACCTTTTTTGTGCAAACGGCATTTGCGAGTGGATAGAAAAGTACTACGGATTGTAAATTTTTGTTAACTATTAGGTGAATTAAAATTTTCAACCCGGCCTGACGGTTTTGAAGAACTTTTTTGTTCTAATTTTATTACTAAGGCGTCTAATAAATGCATGGCTTTTAGTTCTAGAAGAATAAAAGTCAGTAAAGAGAAGTCTTTTGTGTATAATTTCTGATTTTAATTGTTCAACTTCTTTTGCACCAGAGCAACTGTCAAAAATCTCCAGCAGTAAAAAGTTACGAATTGGCACAGCAGAAATGTAAAATTTTCTCGCCATAATAAAAACTTTTTTAAACATGGAACTTTTCTACTAATTGACATGAAATTACTATCTCAACGCTCGGAGCGCTGCCACTGAGGGCCTTTGCCAACTGATAAAAACGAGAAAATTTAGAAAGACCAAACAAAAATTTTGAGATTTCTCGTTGTCAATACGAATGCCATAGTTTTTACCTAGCTGTAGTCCCACGAGCAAAATTTTGACAGCTTGAAAATATGTATACACATAAAGTTGTTGGCGGTAATAAAGAGTCAAAATCAAACTGGAGAAAAGAACAAAAAGCGTACGTTAGTTGTCGGTTATAAAATAAATCCAATTTATTTGCGAATATTTGTTTATTCTACTTATTGAAAGGCAACCACGCGGAAAAGCTTGTGTTAATTATATTGATAACAGAACCTGGCAGCTCGCACGTTGTCTAAATTCTCAAATAACATAAAATCCACAAAAGAATACATTAGGTGCAATCCCGTATTCCTCGGACTCCGACTAGTAAAACTGTCAAAAAATAAAAATTCGCTCAGAGCGAGAGAGTAACATTGAAAAGTACGGGATCGCTTTCTAGTAAAAAATGGTAACTTCTGTCAACTTCAACATAACCTCCAAATTTTGGTTGTAAATTTTTGCTTATTTTGTATGTAAACACACTCAGCTCACACATGTAAATAACCAAAAATACTTTCAAATTCATTAGAATCCACTTAAACAAGTAATTAAATACTTTTCAACATGAACTAGCAGAGTGCACTTTTCTTTTGTTTACAATTTGGTTGCCAAACACACTACAGCTGATCGTTTGACACATTTACCAGAATTTACCAGCAAAAAATTCTCGGACTAAAACTGGTAACTTCTGACAGAGAGGGAACCGTATTTACTCTCTTTTTTGTCCTCTCAATAGTCAGAGAACCAAGTACGGGATCGATTTCCAGTAAAATCTGACTGATTCTGACTGTTTCTGACTAGTCCGGACTCGTACGGGATCGCAACTATTGCTTGTATTGCCATCAATACGCCATGTATAATTTTTAACAACACACAAAAATAAAGCTTTCGCACGAGCGTTTGTTTGGTTTTTCAACACCATTTATAATTTTCTTTTAATAAAATCACGATTTGTAAAATGCTTAAATTTATTTATCTAATAATAATGCAGCACACAACCCAGAAATCTAAGAAAAAGGCTGAGGAAGGCCATTAAATAGCAGCACACAACCCCGTGCCTTCCTCAGGAGTGAATATAACTACACCAACAACGATTACTACAACAACAACCCAAAAAGGTTGGTTACTGTCTATACTGCGTTATTTTCGCTGCAGTTGTACAGATTGTCAAAATAAATGTGTTTGTTGTAATATTAATTCGCCTTTTTTACAACAAATCAGGGGTTACAACCAACACCCGATTTACATGATTCAAGTACTTGAAAGCAATTCTTGCTCATTCTCTTTTGTGTTTTCTATTTGCTTTTACACGTTTCAATTCTGTTGAATTCAAGTTTTTGGTTCTTTAAATGGGAAGCAACGAAAATGCCAAAAGCAAAGCAAGAAAGTTGAAACGACTTGACGGTACAGACGCATGTGTACTCGTCCCTTTTCTTCTCACCCCCTCTCTTCCACATGCAAGCAGAATTGAATTCAATACTTGAACTGTGTAAAAGTAGTCTAATAACAAAAAACAATCTTCGAAATGTTGTCAGAAAAGGTATTAACGAAGTTTTTTATAGTAAACCAGAAGTAGTATTTAACAACAATAAACTAATCTCTCGCTATCGCTACCAATAAGAATGCAAGCAAGAATTTAATTAGAATGGGTGATGTCGCGGACCATTCAAGGATTGTACAGCTAAATAATATGTATGCCATATTTCCGGTTCTTTCTGTCAATTGATTCCTTCATATTATCTGTAAAAAGCAGTGATGGGAGGAGTTCTGCCAACGTGGATGTATAACATAAGAGAATGGACAGGCCTTAAAATTATTTAAAAAAAAAATATGGACAAAGCAAAAAACTGATAGGAATTCGAAGGAACGGTAATTCTCTAGGGTGGGGTAACAACCCCTAAAAAAGGTGCGGAAAAGTCGGGAGGGGTACCAAACGACGCGTTTCGGCCCCCCTAATAACAATCCGGAGGGGGGGGGGAGATAATATTATTAACCATTTAAAAGTTATGGACAAAAAACTTTTGTTAAATTTCGTTGTTTTCTATGAGCAATTACCACGTCAAAAATGCACTAAATCACCAGTTTCCACTTTTAAAACACTACTAAAACGTTTCCGGTTATTATTTTATGCAAACCAAATCATTTATTAACTTTTATTTTATATATTTCGTTAATAAAACAGAGTAAACACACTTTGCGCCTGCTAAAATTATTATAACCTCAAATCGCTGGTATTGCCACTTTATTTCACATTTCATTTGCGCTATTATACTCAGTTTACACTATACACTTCTTCTTCTTTTTACTTTCATCTAAATAAGATATTGTAACCAAAAAAGGCGAAAATTTTTAATAAAAAATCGCGATTGAACAGTGCACACATCTCATAAGGAAAAGTGAATTATTATTGTTCATAACTTTTAAATGGTTAATAATATTATCTCCCCCCCCGCCGAAACGCGTCGTTTGGTACCCCTCCCGACTTTTCCGCACCTTTTTTAGGGGTTGTTACCCCACCCTAGAGAATTACCTTAAATTAGTGCACAGATATAGTAAATTAATTTTTTTAATAAAGCGTGAACTGTTGTCTACAAGTGTGTATAAAAGGTTTTCGATTCGATTCACGCGTTTAGGCACAGCAATCCAAAATCGTTGTACAAATTCATAAACAGTACCCAATTGTTTTACAATCATTTCGTATTTGTCGAACTTGGCTTTCGTGTTCGAACAATTTTGAACTTAACTTTCGAGACTTTTTCCAATTTCGAGTACGCCGACTTAAATCAATCGACGCGTT